ATTTTTTGGATTTGCATATACAGAGTGACTCAAAAAAATTAATGAATGCGTAAATATATTTTATTGATTTAATCAGGAACTACAAAACCGAATTCTTTGAAATCCACTGCGAAAAAAAAACATAATAGGCATGCAGTCGTCACGTTTCCGACAGCGAGGGAAGTACTGTCTAAACTCTTTAGACCAATTTTTTTAGAGTTATTTGCTTTGGCAAGGAGATGTCGCGAATTATTACAATAAAAACTAAGTAGACTTGGTGACCGTCTATTTGTAATCGAGTCCGTCTGCCGATCCTCTACTTTTACGTTTTCTCGACCTTTCATGACCCCTACACTACAGTGCGAGGAAATAGGTCTCCCGTTTCCGTCTGTGTGTCCGTCTGTCTGTCTGCCATTCCGGATTTTTATTAGACAGATAATCTCCGAAAGTACTGAACCGATTGTTGTCAAATTTTGTATTTAAATTAGAAATATCATGCAGATGGTAAAATGCCCACCAAAATTTGTCTAGTCATCCCCACCAATAATGTGATGACGTTACTATAGTAAATGACTTTTAAATTGAATGAAATAATATAGTCCTACACATGTTGTTTATGACGGCATTGACTTTTTCCCGAAACGTCCAGATTTTTGGAAAAAAAAAAATATAAAACAACATTTTGCAATTTAATTTTGAATCTGCAAAATTGAATGTTTTGAAATCTTGCATATGTTATAAAGTTATGATAAGCATGATAAATTTTTAATTAAAATATATTTGCTTACCCCCTTCAAAAAATTGATGACGTCACCTCAAAATAGTACCGAATAAATCCTGCCTTAAAGCTGCAAAATATGATTAATCTATACTTGTAATTTATCACTGCATTAATATTTTTTTAGATATGTTTATACAGGCTGTATAAAAAAAAAGACTGAGTCAATTTATTTCATTAATTAAATCAATAATTCAAAAACTGAATACTTTGTAGTTTTGCAGGCGTTTTGAAGTTATTGTAAGCATGGTAAACTTTTAAGGAAAATGTATCTGTTTATCCACCCCAAAAAAATTGATGACGTCATCTCAAAATTTTGACGAATAAATCCTATCCAAAATGTGCAAAATATGATCAGTCTATACTTATTGCAATTTATCATTGCATTCATATTTTTTAGATTTTCTTATACAGGGTGACCCAAAAAAAATCAATCAATCAATTTGTTTTATTGAATAAATCAAGAATTGCAAAACTGAAACTTGAAAATCTTGCAGACGTTTTAAAGTTATTGTAAGGTTGGTAAATTGTTAATCAAATTTCTAAATTTAGCTTTTTTCTAGTTTTACGACCAAGCAGTAGCCCCGCCCACCCACCCCTTCTTAGTTCCAGTGACCACTCTTAATATTGTTCAGTCTTAGCTTAGCAAGTTTAGCCCCGCCCACCCGCCCGTTATTTTCCCAGAGAGTATGTCGTTTGCCACAACTAAGTAGTCTTATTTTAGCAAGACTACCCCCACTACCCACCCTTTTTTTTTAGGGGTTACGTCATTTACCAAAATCAATCTTATCTTAACAGGTACTAGCCCCGCCCACACACGCTGTTCTCATTCCAACGATTTTTATCTCTCTTCAATTGATATCCACCTTAACTCGGACTAGACAAAATGACTCACTGAAATGGGGTGGGTGGGCGGGGTAAATTATATGTTCTTTTGTAAAGCGAGAATGGAAACTAATAGATCGTAGGCTGTTAAAAAAAACGTTAATCGTACTACTTAATCGCAATAACATTTATTTCTTATTTCTAAAGAAAAAAAATTGGTCTAAAGAGTTTAGACAGTCGTCACTTCCCTCGCTATCGGAAACGTGATGACTGCATGCCTATTATGTTTTTTTTCGCAATAGATTTCAAAGCATTCGGTTTTGTAGTTCCTGAGTAAATCAATAAAATAAATTTACGCATTCATTTTTATTTTGAGTCACCCGGTATATGCAAATTGAAGTAATATAAGAATGGAATGATAAATTACAAGTACAGGCTCATCATACTTTGTACAGTTTAGATAGGATTTATTCGACAAACTCTCGAGCTGACGACATCAATTTTTTGGAGGGGATAAGCAAATATATTTTGACTAAACATTTATTATGCTCTTTATAACCTTAAAACATCTGCAAGATTTCAAAGCATTCGGTTTTGTAGTTCCTAATTAAATCAATAAAATAAATTCACGCATCCATTAATTTTTTGAGTCACCCTGTTTATGCAAATCGAAAGAGACTCACCATATTTTGTACATTTTAGATAATTTTCCTGAGTAAATCAATGAAGTAAATTTACGCATTCATTAATTAACATCTGCAACATTTCAAAGCATTCGGGTTGGCAGATTCAAAATTAAATTGCAAAATGTTGTTTTATAATTTTGATTTTTTTTCCAAAAATCTGGACGTTTCGGGTAAAAACTCAAATCGGAGTCGTAAGCTACATGTGTAGGACTATGTTATTTTATACAATTTAAAACCTATTTACTATGTACAATTTTGAAGTGACGTCATCGCATTAGTGGTGGAGATGATTAGGCAAATTTTGGTTAGCGTTTTACCATCTACATGATATTCCTAATATAAGTACAAAATTTCACAACAATCGGTCCAGTACTTTCGGAGATTATCTGTCTAATAAAAATCCGGGATGCCAGACAGACGGACAGACGAACAGACAGACGGAAATGGGAGACCTATTTCATCGTCTTCTAGGGGTCATAAAAGATCGAGAAAACGTAAAAGTAGAGAGTCGGTCGACGGACTCGATTACAATACTTCCTTTGCTTACACTCGGGAAGTAAAAACACAATCAGAATTGGAGCGCAGAGAGCACGTTCAGGTGTTATCAAAAAAATATTCATAGGTGTCTTTGGGAAGCTAAATTATTAACAAAAATGTAGTTGTCGTTAAAATATGAGTTATGAAAAATTGGATTTTTGTAGAGTTATTTACTTTGACAAGGAGATCTCGAGAATTATTACAATAAAAAATAAGTAGCATTGCTGACCGTTCATTTGTAAATGTTTGTTTGACACTAAAGTAATAAAAAAAGAACAAATTGAATGCGAGCGCATCGAGCACGTTCAGGTGTTATTTAAAAAAATATTCATTGATGTCCCTGAGAAGCTAAATTATTAAGAAAAATTTTGTTGTCGAAAAAATATGAGTTTAATATCTCTGGAATTGAACATCCTAAAAGTGCTCGCTGCGCTCGAATTTGAAAGATTGATGTTTTTAGAGTCATTTAGTTTGATAAGGCGGTCTCGAGAATCATTACAATGAAAACTAAGTAACCTTGGTGACTAAATTAATGCAAAAAGAACAATAAAAATGCGAGCCCAGCGAGTTATTAAAAAAATATTCATTAGTGTCCCTGAGAAGCTAAATTGCATATTAAGAAAATTGTCATTAAAATATGAGTCTAATGTATCATGAACGTGCTCGGGATTTCGAGAATTGCTGAATTCATTCGCAGCTTTTGGTTACAGGACGAAGGTCGTCAAACTTGTCCGGTGTAAAATTGGGGTAATCTGATTAGCCGAAGGCGCGTACGTCATCAAAGGCGCTCATTTGTTTTTTGTGACACTGAAAATTACGGAATTAGTATGCAACTTCTGTTTTTTTTTACACTGCTGAAAGTTTGTGTCGTGATTTCGTTTTGTTTATGAGGAAAAATTGGATTATGCTAATCTCGTGTGACAGTAAAAGTTGTTAAGAATATTAATTTTGAGGTTATATACAACATGTTGCATATAATTCAAACCTCAAATACACCATTTGATATTTTAAGTATTCTATTGATGAAAAAAAAAAAGTAAATACGTATCTTAAGAAAAAAAAGCCAATCATTAAGCCGTCCGCTCCGACCTCAGTTGTGTTGAATTTTTCATTAATTTATTGCAGTGTGGGGCGGAGCATAATCGACATTTCTTTACAAAATTTTACCATTTTAAACATGCTTTAAGTATTCTATTATAAAAAGAAGAACCTATATTATGAAAATAAGGGAAATATAAACCCCGCCCACCCACCCTATCTCAATTGTGATGTTTTTTTAACCTTCGTGACTCGAGAGTGCAGCTTAATTGCAAAATCCTAATTTTTATACAATAAATACCAATACCATTTTAAACATGTTTTAAGTTTTCTGTTGTTAAAAGACCACGTGTATTAGGAAAAAAAAATGCAAAATATATTCTTACGTATGTAAGCTTCTCACAAATAGTGTGAATGCTCAAAAAATGCCGAAAGAAAGACTTCCTTGGTTTTGTCACGGATTAAAGATAATCGAGAATTGTTTGAGACTGCATGATTACATTTTTTAATAATTCTAATTACTCTTCAGCCCATGAAAAAGGTTGGAAAATGTGATGGATGGGGGCGAAACTAAAAAATTTCGTTTTGGGGATTTTTGAGAAAAGTCCAAGCTTCTGCTTGTCAAACTGTTACGCTCATAGAATTTTATGGTTAAATTTGTTAACACAATCTCAAAAGTGCCTCAAAATCTTAACATTTTTTAAGTCGTTCACGTTGTTTACTTTTTTGTTTACGTGTTATTTATGTCACGGTAAAAATAGGTTTATACTTACATTAAAACATAAACTTGACTTTTCAATTCTCTACATAGGCTAGTGTTTTGATGGGATAATAATTGTGTTATTGTGACCACACTGCACGTAATCAGTCACACTGCTATTAGGCTTTAAACGCAAATTTGCACATAATTTTAAATGGAAATATGTTGTGCCAATTAACTCATGCCACCTAACAATAACTTATTCGTGAACACGGCACAATAACATCCATTCTGACTTGTTTACTCCGCTTAGGTGGTAACTGATTAAATGCATTGAAATTCGAGTGCTTTCATTTCAACTTACCTTCTGATCTTTGCGAAAACAGAGCTTTAGAACCAAACCTGTAAAAATAAAACTCCGCATGCAAGAGTCAATACATTTATTAGAACAGGTGAGAGAATTTACAAAAAATATACATGTACTTAACCTAGTTCCATGATTCAGATATTTACACAAAGTACCACAAAAGGAAATGCGAATGTTGTGAAGAGTGATCGATCGCTATAGTCGGGACGGTTTACAATAATACTGATTAAATCCAAAGAGTTGCTACAGGTGACATGCTTGCAATGAAACAACCTCAATTACCAGAGTAGAATAATCGAGGTTTCACAAATTGTCGAATGCAGATATGTTAGATGTGTGATTGATATGTGGGAAAAATGTTGCTTATCTAACACTAAATTCGTGAAGCTTTATGCGTTTTCCCCTCGACGTTTGACAAAATCGTGATGAAGTAGACCAGTAGAAAAATGAAAGTCGCGTCGCATATAAATTGCTACTTTGCTTTGTCGCGAGAAACAATTGAAACGGAACCATCAAACGTCAGTTAAAGAATCTAACTTTCCAGTCACGTGGGTGATTAATTCTATGAAGAGATGTGCTAATGGAGTGGCGCAGAGCCGAACTACCAGACTTTCGGCCCGCCGAAAATACGAATTGCACAACAGCAGAAGAAGCTAATTTTGTTCACTGTCAAGTCACAGTCTTGGAGGAGTGTCGACACACACACTTGGTTCATTGTGAAAAGCTCGTAGTATCACCGCAGGTTTACAGGTCCCTGCAAAAATAAAAGATTTGCTTTAAGGGCATAAAACGTTTATTAGCCGTTACATTCGTCTCGTAAATTCAAAAACGAGAAACGTGACGGTTTTGCGAACTTTCTCCCGGAATTGAACTGTTTTTTTCGACGATTTAATTGCGAATTAGCGACATGTTTAAAGATTTACGGCCCGGGTTTGGCGGAAGATTTGTTCGCGGTTAAAAGTTGGAATTTATTGTGTTTTATCACCTGTTAGGTGGGAATTTATAGCGCAGATATAAGCAAAGGGCACGTTTTTTAAGTTTCTCGGGAATGATTTGTGGGGGAGGAAAGTCGCGGAGAAACCTCTGAACAAATTAAAATTTCTATTAAGTCGTCTGGACGGGGTGGATTTGGAAACAAGAAGAAGTTGTATTGTCTAGATTTATGTAGGAATGTGGCAGGCAGACGGGTGGTAAATAGAAACGGTTTTATTACAAAAAGCGCGTTTTCAGAGGATTGAGTTCAGTGCAAAGTTCACTGAGAGGATAGAAGGTTTTTTAAAATAATTATTCAGTGGTTAATATTAATTACTAAATAACGTACTGAGAAAACAAAATTAAACAAAATTAGTGGGGTAATTATAAAAGTAATAAAAATAATAATCTTGGGTACATCCATAACTTCCAATAAGAAGGAATGTTGTCTTGTGATAAGTAGTGATAAAATTTCGGAAATGTCAGTATTAGCAAGGGAAGAAACTTGTAGAAGACGAACTTAAGAAAAAATGAATTTGAAAATTGGAACAATTTTGTTAGGAGACAGAAAAAGGCAAGAAGAATGGATGGAGAAAGTTGTGGAGAGGTTTTGTGAAAACATTGACTTGGCTAGAAAAAGATATCGAAGGAGGGAAGGAAGAAATGATGTTCTACGAGGAGCTGATCTAAATAAACTGTGAAGAAGAATTTTAGATACAGGAAGATTTTGTCTCCAGTACGGAAGCTGAAGAAAGAAGATTATTAACAAATTTCGTGATGATCTAGATCGGAAAGTTTCCATAGAACTGAAACAAGCTTTCATAAAATTTCGAATATGCCTATTAGCACGAGGAAAAAATTTTGGAAAACGAATTCAAGAAAGAGAGAATACAGGAGTTTGGAAGGAAGTTTGAAAACTGGAAAAATTCTGGTAGAAAGGTGAAAAAAAAATTACTGGCTGAAATGGGCAGAAGTAGATCTGACTCACTGTTAATATAAGTCTGATAGAGATATTGGAAAACGTTTCGGAGAAGTTTGACAATATTTTAATAGAAACAGGAAGATTTTGTCTACAGTACAAAAGTTGAACAAAGAAGGCTACCAATAAATTTCGTGGATGATCTAGAATATTCTAAAAATAAGAAATATTTTTCTGTGGAAGATATATTGTTAAGAGAAGTTTTAATGGATTTGATGGATTTGAAAGAAACATTGATAAAATTTCGGAAATGTCAGCAAGGGGAGAAAATTCTGGGAGACGAATGCAAGAAAAGCAGAATACCAAAAATTTGAAGGGAGTTTGAAAATTGGAAAAATTCTTGTAGAAAACCGGAAAAAGTAATAGAATTGGGCTTTAAAGAGAGAGTTGATGTTGCCAACCAGTTGTCCAAAGATGGAGAAAGTTCCGAAAATTTATTTTAAAAACGATGACGTGACTACAATTTAAGTGTTGAAGAAGCTTTTTTTCCAAAATTTTCAAAAAAATTTTACTGGGTGAAGTAGTACAAAAGATTTGACTTACTGTTAATATTAGTCTTTTAGAGAAATTGGAAGACCTAGAGTTAGAACAATTGGGTTAATGAGGATTTGTCTAGAATACGAGTATATGTGAAATAACTGATTTTCTGCAAGGAGCTGATCTGATCAAATCGTGAAGCAGAATTTTAATTTTGGTCCGAAATAGAGAAGTTGAAGAAAAAAATTTCATGTTGATCTAGAATTTTAGGGTAAGAAGAAATAAACTGTCAAGAGAGATTTAAATCGGTAAGTTTCGACTGATTTGAAAGAAACGTTATTAAAATTTTAGAAATGTCAGCAAGGGGACAAAATTCTGGAAGACGAATTCAAAATAAAAGACAATACAAGAGATTTCAAGAAAATTTTAAAACTAAAAAAATTCTGGTACAAAACTGAAAAGGTAACAGAATTTGACTTTAAAGAAACAACGGAAGTCGCAGACCAATTTTCCAAAGATAGAGAAAATTCTGGAAGAAGGGCGCTCTAAAATTTTCCAAAAAATTTTACTGCTGCAAGAAGTACAGAAGAAGATTTTAAGTTGCTGTTAATAGAAGTCTGTTAGAGAAGTTTGAAGATCTAGAATTAAAACAACTGGATTAATGAGAATTTGTCTAGAAGATATATGAAGGAATCAATTTTCTACAACGAGATGATCTAAATAAATATAGTGAAGCAGAATTTTAATTTCGGGTCGGAATTAAAATTACATAGAAAAATTTGACAAAATTCTAACAGATAAAGAAAGATTTTGTCTCCTGTACAAAAGCTGAAAAAGAAGATTATTAATAAATTTCGTGGATGATCTAGATCGGAAAGTTTTCATGGAACTGAAACAAGCTTTCATAAAATTTCGAACTTGTCTATTAGCACGAGGAAAAAATTTTGGAAGACGAATTCAAGAAAGAGAGAATACAGGAGTTTTGAAGGAAGTTTGAAAACTGGAAGAATTCTGGTAGAAGATTGAAACAAGCAATAGAATTGGGCCTCAAAGAGAGAATGGTTGTAGACTTGTTGTCCAAAGATGAAGAAAGTTCGGGAAAGTTTATTTTGAAAATACTGGCTTGACTATAAATAAAGTGTCGAAGAAAGGCTTTCCAAAATTTTCAAAAAAAAAATACTGTCTGAAGTGGGCAGAAGTAGATCTGACCACTGTTAATATAAGTCTGAAAGAGATATTGGAAAACGTTTCCGCATTAGCCATAAATAGAGAAGTTTGACAATATTTTAATAGGAACAGGAAGATTTCGTCTACAGTACAAAAGTTGAACAAAGAAGGCTACCAAAAAATTTTGTGGATGATCTAGAATATTCTAAAAATAAGAAATATTCTTCTGTGGAAGATATACTGTTAAGAGAAGATTTAATGGATTTGATGGATTTGAAAGAAACATTGATACAATTTCGGAAATGTCAGCAAGGGGAGAAAATTCTGGGAAACGAATGCAAGAAAAGCAGAATACCAAAAATTTGAAGGGAGTTTGAAAATTGGAAAAATTCTTGTAGAAAACTGGAAAAAGTAATACAATTGGGTGTTAAAGAGAGAATTGATGTCGCAAACCAGCTGTCTTAAGTTCTGAAAAGTTTTTTTTAGAAACACTAGCATGACTACAATTTAAGTGTTGAAGAAGTTTTTTTTCCAAAATTTTCAAAAAAATTTTACTGGGTGAAGTAGTACAAAAGAAGATTTGACTTACTGTTAATATTAGTCTTTTAGAGAAATTGGAAGACCTAGAATTAGAACAAATGGATTAATGAGGATTTGTCTAGAAAATACGTGAAATAATTGATTTTTTGCAAGGAGCTGGTCTGATCAAATAGTGAAGCAGAATTTTAATTTTGGTCCGAAATAGAGAAGTTGAAGAAAAAAGATAGTTAACAAATTTCATGTTGATCTAGAATTTTAGGGTAAGAAGAAATAAACTGTCAAGAGAGATTTAAATCGGTAAGTTTCGACGAATTTGAAAGAAACATTATTAAAATTTTAGAAATGTCAGCAAGGGGACAAAATTCTGGAAGACGAATTCAAAATAAAAGACAATACAAGAGATTTCAAGGAAATTTGAAAACTGAAAACATTTTGGTGGAAAACTGAAAAGGTAACAGAATTGGACTTTAAAGAAACAACGGAAGTCGCAGACCAATTTTCCAAAGATAGAGAAAATTCTGGAAGAAGAGCTTTCTAAAATTTTCCAAAAAATTTTACTGGTACAAGAAATACAGAAGAAGATTTAAGTTGCTGTTAATATAAGTCTGTTAGAGAAGTTGGAAGATTTAGAATTACAACAACTGGATTAATGAGAATTTGTCTAGAAGATATATGAAGGAATCAATTTTTTACAACGATATTATCTGAATAAATATAGTGAATCAGAATTTTAATTTCGGGTCGGAATTAAAATTACACAGAAAAGTTTGACAAAATTCTAACAGATAAGGAAAGATTTCGTCTTCAGTACAAAAGTTGAAGAAAGAAGAAAATTAACAAATTTCATGAATGATGTAGAAATTTCGGATAAGAAGAAATATTGTTCTGTGGAAAAAATATACTATTAAGGGAGGTTTTAAATCGGAAAGTTTCGACAGATTGGAAAGAAACATTGATAAAATTTCGAAAATGTCAGCAAGGGGAGAAAATTCTGGAAGACGAATTCAAGAAAAAAAAAATCAAAAATAACAAGAAAGTTTGAAAATTGGAAAAATTCTTGTACAAAACCGGAAAAGGTAATAGAATTGGGTTTTAAAGAGAGAACTGATGTTGCAGAACAGTTGTCCAGAGATGGAGAAAGTTCTGAAATTTAATTTGGAAACACTAACTTGACCACGAATAAAGTGTCGGAAGAAGGGCTTTCCAAAATTTTCAAAAAAAAAAATTAGTGGTAGAAGTAGTACAGAAGAAGATCTGAGCCACTGTTAATACAAGTCTAACAGAGAAGTTGGAAGACGCAAATTTAGAACAATTTGATCAATGAAATCTATCTAGAAGATGTGTAAAAGAATTGATTTTCTACGAGAACCTGTTCTTAATTTCGGTTCGGTATTAACGTTAAATAGAGAAGTTTGACAAAATTCTAGAAGATACAAGAATATTTCTTCTATAGTGCAAAAGTTGAAGAAAGAAGATAACTAACAAAATTTCATTAATGATCTAAAATATTCCTTAAGAAGAAATATTGTTCTGTGAAAGAGGTTTAAAATGCGAAAATTTGGACAGATTTGAAAGATATATTTATAAAATTTCGAAAATGTTAGCAAAGGGACAAAACT